TGGTCTTCCTGCTGACGCTTCTTCTTTCGGAAAACCGAGTTTTGTCTGTTCTGCGCTTGTCTGTATCGCTCCACATTCAATCTCGTGCGATGTTGCAGCATTCTCGCCCGTGCTGCAATACTTCTCCTCTACAAACAGTTTGCATTCGCCGTCAAACCAGTCATTTCTTCGATCCGGGATCGCAGTTGCTAGTGCCGCTACAACAGTACTACCTATGGCGGAACGGATGTCCCTCCAGCCATCTTCAAGAGAAGCTGCGCAAAGCTGCTCTTCCGTGGGTAGTGCAACTTCCAGCTGCTGCGCGTAGTCCTGGGCAACTCCGGCGTCCCGTAGTTGCTCAATGTTAGGTCGCGGGAGTCGTCGAGAGTTTTGAGCGCATGCATACTGCAACTAGGTAGTGGTCCGAATCTATGTTCGCACTGCGGTTCGTGCGGACGTTGAAAATGTTGGAGAAGAATTTCCCGTCGATTAGATAGTGATCGATTTGGTTTTCTGCGTGTTGGTCAGGTGATCTCCAGGTGGCTTTCCTTGCGGGGGAAAAAGGTACTTCGAACTACCATACCCCGAGAGGCTGCAAAGTTCACGCATCGTTGGCCCGTCCTGCCTGAGCGTTCATGTCACCGATGACGATTTTGACGTGGGCTACATGTATTAATTTTCAAGTGACACAGATGCGTCTTTTCAACTTAAGTACATTTGAAATTTTAATTATTATTTACAGTTTTTAGTCCTATTATGCCTGTTTTAAATTATGATAGCAGCGCTGTTTTAAATCTTTTAAGGTTCAAGCAGAACGATGCGCAACCAAGTGGTACTCGTTTACAATGACTGGGTTTGGGGAAAACATTTATTTCATGAAAAAAAAAACAATAAAATTATGATTTGTACATTTTCAAAGGTTTTTATGGAGAGTTGGAAAATTATTTATTTCAAAAGAGGCGTAAAGTAATATCCTATCGTTTGGAGTATTTGGATTTTTATTTCATCTATAAATGACAAAGTTATAAGCGTTCAAAACCTAACACTACTTCACCACACAATTTTTTGATTTGCACCCCAGTATAGTCAACAAAGACGTAGTTCTACGTCTAAAAAGGCTTTGGGGCTCATTGTCTCTAGGAGCTTAACGGAGCCGACGGAGTAATTTTTTTTTGTATGTACATTTAGGGGATTTGAGTTCTTTATTTTTCTTCTTCTGCATCGCTTCGTACTCCTGTGAATATGTCAAGGCCATGTTTCATTTCCAAATGAATCATATTTATTGAGCATTTTTGTATGACATTACAAATACATAAAGATTTAAATAAAATAAGCAAATATATCCATAAACGAGAGTTTAACGACGTGATCGGGGTATCATCCAGACCATTGGTGGGAAAGTTTACCTATCCAGGATACAGTTCGTTTTGGGTATTTGTTTATTATGGAAGACTTTACTTTCTCCAGAATCATGAATAACTAAATAACGATCAACAATAGACATATACTCTTCTCGGCAAAGTTGTTTGTGACAAAATTTCCCATCTTAAAGCTGAGGCATTCCACGAAGGTTCGCAAATCGATCCTGACCGATCATTTCCAATTACGCTGAAACTTTGCACAGTTGTTCCTTTTTAGTAAAGGCGCCATTTTGTGCTCTCAGTTTTTCATATTGAATTACGACTACTTTTTGAAAAGGGCCTGTGTAAAAATAGTACTAATGAGTTTAAAAATATATATTGCCGAAACGCTTTGTTCGATTGATTTGGGGTCTAGAGCAAAGTTGTAGATATTATTTTCTCAATTGTGTTAAAAATATACACTGTAAAAAATTTCGTTTGTATCAATGAAAAAAATTATATTTATTATTAAAAAAGTTAATTTCTCAAAAAGTACATTTTCGTTTTAAGCCTCATTGAAGCTCATACTGTTTGCTACTAACTGGCAAAATTTGGTGATGGTAAACTCAAAAACAAAAAAGTTATGGTTTTTTGAATATTTCACGATTTTTACATTTTCATTAAAAACACATTTTTTTTAACCGTGTATATTTTTTCAAGAATTGCATTTTAATTTTGCACAACTTTTCCGAAGACACCATAGCAATCAAGCAAGCCGTACAAAAATGTACTTTTTGAGAAATTATTTTTTTTAATAATAAATATATTTTTTTCATTGAAACAAACGAATTTTTTACAGTGTTTATTTTAAACATTATTACCAAAATAATATCTACAACTTTGCTCAAGACACCAAATTAGTCGAACAAAGCGTTTCAGCAATATAAATTTTTTAACTCATTAGTACTATTTTTACACAGGCCCTGTTAGAAAAGTAGTCGTGATTCAATTTGAAGAACTGATAACACAAATTGGCATCTTTACTAAAAAAGAACAACTGTGCAAATTTTCATCAAAATCGGAGCCGACAAATTAAAAAAAAAAATAAAAAAAAATTCGTCAATCTGTAGAGAATTGCTCAGCTGTATTAAATCAACTAATCGTGATTTCTGAGAATTGATAAAAAAATTAATGAAAAAATGGAACATCTAACAGGTCACGGCAATTTCTTCTCATTTGAATGTGTAAAAAATATAATAGGGATGCGTTGCATTAAATGTTGATGCATTAGAAATGGATGTTCAGATATGACTATGAAAAATGCACTTGTTTCAAAAATTCCACTGAGCTAAATTACTTTTTTCAGAGTTGCCACTAAATCTTTTTTCCATCCATGGCTATCATTAGGAGGGTGAGTGCCCAGATTTCCAGACAAGATATTATTTTGGGCCACCCTAACATACATACAACGGTAACCCACCATATTAAATATACACGTTTTAGGAGAAAATAAAAGAGTATTGCTATCGAAAAACCACTCTGTTATGTGTTTCAACTTACCTCACTGTATGAGGTAAGATGAAATGAAACATGCCATTAATATATCCTTAGAAAAATGTATCTAGAAGACGCTTTCACAAAACTTTTTATTTGAAAACATCCAGTTTATGTCTAGATGAAGTTTCCATTGTGCTAAAAATCTCGTTAATAATGCAATTTAAAAAATTTCATTCGTGCTCTTTTGCTAACTAAGAAAACATAGATAGAACATATATTTTTCCATGTACATCTTCCCAGATATCTATGGAAAAAACTACAAGGGACAGCCCTATGGGGTTGTACGCAATGGTGACGTAGAACTACGTGTTCTTATATAATAAATCATATTTGCTAACTGCAGCAGGAGCTTGTGTTTTGTGTAGGAATAGGAATTTGAGCGAGGTTCTCTCTGTTTATCCCAACAAACATTTTGAGTTGATTAACAGCTGAAAAGGCCATTTTTTAGCTGAAGAAGTTTATTTTTGCCTGAATAAGCTCTTATTCAACAATTAATGTTTGTTGGGATACTCTTTAGTATGACGCGCTTGACATAGATGGCCGACAGAAACTCACGAAGAGCTACTGATTCCGATCAATAGCGGTGTGGCTTCTTCTTCCTTCTATGGATGCTCATGTGGGCTGCAGCTCGCTGTTTGCAGGCAGCTTTTCGTTGTGTACTGGAGAACAATGTTCAACGCCACGTGCCGAAAGCACTGCTGCTGCTGCTGCTGCTGATGCCGACGACCGGACATCACCACACACGATAATTGGAACTGAATCCGATCAGCGGTTGAGGCCTTTCGTTGTGTACCGGAGAACACCACCACTCACCACGCGGTGATTTAATAAACACCGTTTGTTGAGACCGGATGAAATTCAACTGTGAAAACTGTGTTAGGGAAATCGCTTTTCGCAGGCAATCGGTGATATTAAGATCACCGATATCATAGCAACAGTTGCACATTTGTGAATTTTTCAATAGTGACATTTTTAGAAATGATAAAGTTTTAAATTTAACAGATGTGTAGGAATATTTCTGATTGATTGGTGATAAAATTATTGAAATTGGTCCAGGGACAGCTGAACCAATAACGTTAAAAATCTTTCATAATTTTGTTACATGTTCCATTTTAAGTTTTAACAAAGTGTACCCCCATATAGAAATCAAAGACGTAGTCCTACGTCAAAAAACTGATTCCCTTGGTTTTAAATATTTTTTTTTTCCAATATTTTTAGAAAAAATCATAAAGCCAGATAAAAAATGCTTGTAATCTTCCCCTCAAGCAAAACATTAAGTAATATCTCCTAAAGAACCATCATCTCCCATTTAACCCAGCCTAATTCGCATCGCAGTAGATGACTCCAACAGCAACGTAAAGCGATCAGTTCCGTCGTCACAAAACATAAGCAACATTGAAGAATCGGAACCAAAACGGCAGTCAGCACCGACAACAGCAGCAACAATCAAAAACAGAAAACACAAAACCAAGCAAAAGAGGGGTTTCCTCCTCCTCCTCTTCTAGAGATATGGATGCGCGCGATGAGTCGGGGAGCTCACAACGCAAATAAAAATGGTCTGTTGGGAACGGGTTCCGGAGAGGTTTGGCGAGGGGTGGGGTGTTGGGTGGGGAAGCAGGTTGGCCGTGAATATGATTCGGCGGCTGACTCGGCTTGTTCGGTGGTATTGGTGGGCGGCTCGTGTTCTGAGCAGCGATGTGTATAGTTCTATCCCGGCAGTACCGATTCAAGCCGTTCGCCAGAAGAAAGTGAGAATGTTTACATCCCAACGCCGTTGTCGTAAATAGGTAATGTAGGGCTGCTGTGCTTAGAGCGACGTGAAATGTTTTGATTCTGTGTTACCAAGTGAGTGTGGTTCATTACGGTGTTAGGGAAGAAGAGTGACTATTTAGTAGATTGCTAGTGGTTTCACGTGTTTTGTTACGTTTTCGAGGTAACTTGTAGGAAGTGAACGATACGCGTGAAGGGTGAAGGTTGATTATGAATTCAATGTCAGTTGATGTAACCGAGAAGCAAGCGAGAGCGAATATTTTGGGGGGTTCCATCGCCGTAGTCGTAGTCGTCGTCGTCGTCGGTCGGTCGGTGGGCCGGTGAGCATGTGTTGGTTCGTCACAGAGCGCGCGCTTGTGTGTGCAGTAGAGTTCTAAGCCGCTTCTAAGCAGAGGACTGTGTTTGGACGTGAACTTGTGATAAAAACCTTCCACTCGTGTGGTGGTTGTGGGGGGAACGCCACTATAGGCATCCAGGGGAATGTGAGTGTGTGCGTGCGTGTGTGCGGATGTGTCTGTCGGTCTGTCTGCCTCTCGAGTTTTGTGCAGTGAGAGTGAAGGAAAAAAGGCACAATTAAGAACGAGTGTAAGTGGCCTAAAGACCTATATTTGAGTGAGGTTTTGATTATTCCCGAAAATTCAGTGTAAATAGGCCCGGGATTGGCGCGTTCCCTATGCGGGATGATAGTGAAAGTGACGGTTACTGGTATCGACGATTGCCGGAAGATTCGATTGCAGACGGATTGACAGGCGTGTTCAAATTTCAAGTTCTGGAATAAGTAGGCAATTTTTTGCTTTTCCTTTTGCAACTTTTTGCAGGTTTCGAATTAGAAGAAATACAAACACAGTGTTGTAAAAGTGAATCGAAGGGGAACCCGTTTGCGTATGTATAAGTGCGCGTGTAAGAAGCGAAGAATACGACCAGCAAGAATGAAATTCGCGATTATTATTGCGAATTTATAGAATTGGGCCTACGGTAGTGTGCGTAACGAGTGTATATTTTTTATTTTATTCGCGAATTTTGCTTCCTGCTGCTGCCACTGTCCGTCGTTTGTATATGCAGCAGCGCGAGTGTATCGCCATTCGGAAATTGTGCTGAAATTTCCGGCTCATAGAGCAAATTGTGTGCTATTTCTATTTTCTCGTGACTGTGGCCATGACTCCAGAGTGATGGAGGCGCCACCTTCTGTTCCATTGTCACAGTGTTAGTTAGCGTGCATGTGCAACGAAGACGATGATGGCCCGAAAGTGCTACAGCTGCCGCTGCTGCAACCCAGCAGCCGAGTGACATCGAGTAGCGTTTTTGACACCACCCCCATATCCCGGAAAGTCGCCCCCTATACATCGGCCACCCCACCTCGCCCGGACCAACACAAGTGGACCTCGAAGCTACTGGTGTAAAATTTCCCAAGCTATTTTCGGTGTATGTACCATCAATCGGTTGCACTTGTGCTCCTTTTTCCGACCTTGAACTATATATTGCAATCTGAACTTGTCATCGTTTTGCTGCTGCTGCTGCTGCTGCATCTGTTCCTGTTGCATCCCGGGAAGTCAGAGGCTCTCCTGTGCGCATATTTCGGGAACGACCTGCATACCAGCTAGTAGTGGATGCATCCATCCAGCGTTTGTGCTTATATGTGTCTGTGTGTGACCGTGTAAAACTGGTGACCGACAATCTGGGTGGTTTTCGGAGTGCATCCTCACTGGCATTGGCCAGCGCTGCTACTGCCGCTGCGGCCCGAGAATCTCGTTGTCATTCAGTCAAGTGCTACCTGATGGAATCGGGCTAACTAAAAAGTGTCTCGCGTGCGTACTCGAATCGTTAGTACAAAGATCCAAAGTGTTCAACCCAAATCCGTAGCGAAATTTTGAAAAATCTCCCCCCTACAACATAACGTAGAGCAAAGTGTTCAAATCGAAGCAGAGAAAGTAAAAAAAAAAGCCAGTAGAATTATTTATCGTTAACCCGTGAAGCTACGAAGAAGATTCTGTGAAATTGCGAACCTATAGTAAGAAAATAAGTGAAGCAACCATGCACGAAGAAGCCTCATCGACGGCCAGTTCTTCCACCAAACCGACCAACATCATCTACGCTAACATCAATGGCGGAGGGGGTGGCGGGGGTGGCAGTGCCATATCCGGCGGGGGTGGTGCAACCCATCTTAACGGAAATCTCCTGATAACAACAACACCAACCGTCCAGGACGCATCCTCTTCCCTGTACGAGTTGGTCCATCAGCAGCAGCAGCATCATCATCAACAACCTTCTTTCCACCAACACCATCACCATCAACAACAACAACAACAGCAGCAGCAGCAGCAGCAGCACCATCAACAGGTCATGACATCGACCCAACCAATCCATTCAACCAAAATCATCATCACCAACCAGCCCCTAATCAGTACCACCACCACAACTAGTCCGGTAGAGGTTCGCCCCATACAGCATCACACCATACAACAACAGCAGCAGCAGCAAGCCCAACTCCACCAACATCAACATCACCTCGTTCAATCAACATCGTGCTCATCGGGCAATGCTCCGACTTCCTCCGGAACGACGACTACGACTACTACCATCGTCATCAACACGGAAGAGTCATCCCCGTTTGACGCCGCTGCTGCTGCTGTTTCCATTCTGGATTCCGAACCCGGAACATCCACCGGACTGATGTCCGACACGGTGGCAGCGGCTGCAGCCGCACTGATCGATCTGCATCCGTCGTCCTCGTGCAGTTCGGCTTCACCCAGTGCCGGAAATATTGGTGGTGGTGCTGACGTGGTTCACCTACAAGAACTGGGAGTAGCAACGACGACCACCAGCAGCAACGGAACGGCTTCAACATCGTCAACATCGGCTTCATCGTCAGCGGAAGGAGGAGTGGCGCTGCATGAGCCCATCGAAATTAAAATTCCATCGGAGGGGTCCTATGCCGAGGGATCCGATGGTGAGTACACATTTTTCCTTTCTATTCTGATTGTCTTACATTTCAAATGGGTACTGCGGATAGCCCTGTTGCTGCAATCGTTGTGATTGCACTGTGGAGATGATTGTTGTTGTTGTCGACGAAAGTTCTACGCCTGCGGGATTGGGACTGCGACCAGGTTGGCTCAGATGACATGTGTTGTGTAATTTAAGATCCTAGGCTAAGTTCTAGTTAAGATTATCGAATTGTGCTCTACTGTGTGAAAATATTGCAATCAAATGTAAAACTGTAAAATGTAATGTTATGGCAAATGATGATATAAATTAAGGATACTTTTTTTATTTCTCAAATTTTAGTGGTACAACAAACCTTTTCCACGTGGAAAATTTAATTAATTTTTCTTATTGTATTTTGCATTTGAAACTGGACTATTCCAAAGTGCGGAATCGCTAATAAAAAAGTGCGCTTTGACGTTGTATCGTGTCTTGGTGTCTTCTGTGCAGTTATTCCTCATGAATTAAGGAATAAGTGCGCCCACCGACATGATTTAACGTAAAAGCGCACTTTTATAAGCGTTTTACACTAAATAGGAATTATGCAAGTGAAAATGATTAGTAATTTCCCAGTTCTTCCGTTTTTCCAGGAATTTAGGATATTTATCGATTGTGCTGTATGCATTTAAATTAAGGATAAACCGAATGAGATTGAACAGCAGCAGTCTCAAGCAGCATTTTTTAAAGATCTTGAATCTGGTTTTACGTTCATCAAATTTGTTTACCTACGTTACAAATTCGCTCAAAACTCTGTACTGAATTTTAATGGATTGCTTTCAAACATTTCCCTGAAAATCAGTTCCCTTCTCAACGTTCTTTTCTGAATTCTCTTATAATAAATTAGAGATTTTCACTGGGAATACCTTGAACACACCAATCCAAGAATTTTCTACAGAATAATAAAAAAAAATCTCAAATTTATTGAATTTAAATTTATTTCTCTCTAAGAATTCACTAAACTTCTCTCCATTTGCTTGATTTCTCCTTAGAATTCACAAGTAATTCACTTCAGCATTTAGCTCAGAATGCTATGGGAGTTCTTTTCTGAATTCCTCTGAAAATTTACCACACCCTCAAAATTCTATTCCCTTAGTATGTTTCACAAATCATGGACCTTTTGACGTAGGATTACGTCTTTCGGCAACATATTGGGGGTGCAATTTCAAAAAACCAAAATCGACCGCATTACGAAAAGAGGTCAGGTTTTGACCACATATAACTCTGTCAATAGTAGATGGATTTTATTTCTAAACAAGCCAAACGATTGGAAATTTATATACCCATCTGCTAAAATGAACACTTTATAAATTTTCAATAGGTCACTATTGAAAAATACACTAATGTCTAACTGTTGCAATGGTGATCAAAATTATCACCGATTGCCTGCAAACAGCGCATTCCCTAACACAGATTTAAAAATCGAATTCGATCCTGTATCACTGAACGGTGCTCATTCAATCACCGTGTGTGGTGTCCGGTCGTCAGTGTCCGCAGCAGCAGCAGCATCAACAGCAGCAGTGCTTTCGGCGTGTGGCGTTGAAAATTGTTCTCCAGTACACAACGAAAGGCAGCCTGCAAGCAGCGAGCTGCAGAGCCCACATAAGCATCCATAGAAGGAGAAAGAAGCCGCACCGCTATGGGTGGAAATCAGTTTCCTCGTGAGTAGCTGTGGGTTATCAATGCCTAGCGTGTCAACCTTGCTCCAAACAATATACAGTTCGCCAGCCTCAGCCGTGTCAAACATACTAATAGCTCAGCATTACTCAACCATAACGACAAAACGGTCCTTTTCAGGACCAACATAAAATTGTTTAAGAGTATGTTTTGGACATTTGAAAAGGTCATAAATCGGATGTCAGTTCCCGCAAGCAGCTAACTATCAAGGCTCAACCTGGTCTATATAAGGTGTTCTTTCGTTTACTCAATCACCCTTGTAGTGCCGCCATAACGTTTGTTTCGATCGGCATAGGAAATTTAATGTGAATTATAGAATTTTTGATGTTACCCAAATTTATGAATGGTCTGCCACTAAATGTTGAGATAATTAATTGATTATTCAATATCACACTGTGTATATCATGAAAAAGCAGCCTGTTTGTGAGTTCCAAGTAACATACTGCTCGCCAGCTTTATCCGTGTTAAACACCCTAATAGATCAGCATTACTTAACCATCACGACGAAACGATCCTTATTTATTATGTATTGAATAAAACAAAAATTCCGTGCGTTTTGTGCACGTAAATGCGTAATTATGTCATCAAAAAACGAGGCGTTTCCGTGATGGGAAAAGTGGTTTCCCTAACACAGTCACCAAATATTGATATCAAGCACTGAGCATGCCAGACGGGTCAAATCTTTATGCATTTAGTGCAAATTCTAGGCCCCTCCTATTAAGAGTATTATGCCAAAAAAAAACCTTGCCGAGTTCCCTTAATAGAAGGGGCTAAAAATTTGCATTACAACGTTTAAACGTAGGTACCGTCCGGTAGGCTCAGATTATGTGATTGATGTGTTTTCCCTAATACCTACATATTTCATTTCCACACCGCTATCATTTCCAAAAACATCGAGGAAAAATTTCCACACTATTGTTCTTTACTAGCTTTCAAGCTTCCAACCCATTGGCCCTAATAATGGCTAATAAAAGAGTAAACTAAAGAGTTGGCTTCATGAACATCGACAGAGTACCTCAAAAACACCCAAGCAACAATTCGGATTTTATGAGGGTTCTGTAGACCATGATTTGGACTTGAAGAATGCTTTGAAACCTCGATAAAACTTGCAATGTTACTTGGGCAGAACTCTCAAATTGCTTCCGAATTTCAACCTATCGAAATTGTTCACTGATAACGAGTTAAGAAATCAATTTAATATTTACTTTACTTTTGCTGTGATATCACCTTTTTCAAGCAAATTAATTTATTTATTATTATTATTATTATAGTCCATCTGACTTGATAGTCTCAATGAAACACTTAAATCTAAATGTAGTCACTCATTAAAAATTAAAAATTGGCCAACAGCAAACGATGACGAAACATCGATGCATTGATGTCAAAGTCAAATAGGTCAGAGGCTTCGTTGAATTGATGAATCATGGCGACAAAGGAACTGTTTGCAGCATAGTTGGTTGCATGTACTACTTCATGTAGCAAGGTTCTCGGACGGAGTGTTCGGGCAGGAGCATACAGATTAATTTTGGCCAGTAACTCAGGAACATCACATTCTGCGAGTAAAACTTTAGCAACGAAGACGACCTGCGATATGTTTCATCGCTTAGCAAGAGTATCCAAACCCAGTAAACGACAGCGGTCAGCATACGGTGGTAAATTCAGCGCGTCACTCCATGGAAGATTGCGCAGTGCGTATCTGACGAATTTGCGTTGAACAGCTTCGAATCGTCCACTCCATACAGCTTGGTAGGGATTCCAGACTACACTCGCGAATTCCAGTAGTGAGCGTACCAATGAACAGTAAAGGGCTTTAAAACACAGAGGATCACGAAATTCCTTAGATATCTTGAACATGAATCCAAGCTGTCGATTAGCTTTGTCGATCGTGGTTGAGAAGTGGCGAGTGTATGTGAGCTTTTCATCCAACATGACACCGAGGTCTTTAACGTGATCGACACGTTGAACTGCAGTTCCAGCAACGTTATAATCAAACAAAATGGCAGTCCTAGTTCGACGGAAACTAATTACGCAGCACTTTGAGACGCACAGGACCATAAAATTACGTTCACACCAATCATTAAAGATTTCAAGAAGGTTTTGTAGTTCTAAACAGTCGGCATAGCCTCGAACGACTAGATAAATCTTCAAGTCATCGGCAAAAAACAATTTACCTCCTCGTAGTAGAATAAACGTTACATCGTTCACAAGTAAAGAGAAGAGCATTGGTCCCAAAGTGCTACCCTGTGGAACTCCTGAGCTGTTCGAGAAACAGTACGATGAGTAGTTTCCAATGCATACAGTAACTTCACGTTGCACGAGGTACGATCTAAGCCAGCTGCAGAAGGAAACAGAACATCCAATTTTTTCAAGCTTTGCTAGCAGAACGTCGTGCACAACTCTATCAAACGCAGCTTTAAGATCAGTGTAGATGGCATCCACTTGAAGTTTCTTGCATACATTTTCCATACAGAACGACGTAAAGCTGACGAGATTAGTTTCCACGGAGCGGCCAGGAAAGAAACCATGTTGACATGTACTTATGTAATGCTTGCAGGAAGCAAACAATCTCTCATTTATCAGCGACACAAACACCTTAGATTCAACCCCAAGCGAGGTAATCCCACGGTAGTTTTCCACATTGCGTTTGTCTCCTTTCTTGAAAACAGGGAACATAGTAGACCGTTTCCATAGTGCGGGAAATTTCTGTTGACGAAGTAAAAGGTTGAAGAGAAAGGACAACGGAGCAGCTAAGATATCGGAGCATTTTTTTAGGACTGCAGATGGAATAACACTCGGACCTGGTGAAAATGATGATTTGGTTTTACTCATCACAGAGAGAATTTTTTTTTTTTTTTTTAATCTTTATTTTAGAGATTTTTAGCCTGAGGCTAGTTCATCTCTTCATCACAGAGAGAACCATTTGTACATCTACGGCAAAAACATCTATATTTACGACGTCGGTTGGCACATCACGGACGGCTCGCTCAATTTCTGCTTGCGATGGGGAGTCATTCGAGAAGACGCTTAAGAAGTGCCTAGCAAATAGGCTGCATTTGTCCTCAGTTGTCAATGCTACGTCATTGCCGAGAAACATTTTTGACGGCAGTCCAGTTTCCTTCCTCTTAGTATTCACAAACGACCAGAATCCCTTGGGGTGGCATTGCAGATTATGTTGAGTACGAATTACATACCTCTTGTAAAGAAGCTTGTTGTAGTGGCGATAATCATTGCTGGCAATTGAAAAATTTCGCTTGGTAAGGGTACATCGTCCATGAGTGAGAGCACGGAGAGCTCTAGATCGCACTCGTTTCAGGTTGCGGAGAGTAGCGTTAGACCAAGGCGGTTTTCTTGGAGGTTGGCACTTCGGTACTGAAGCACAAACACAGTCGCGCAAAAGGCTATTATATCGAGCGGCTGCTGTATAGATATCAAGGTCATTCAACACGTTCCAGTTGATCCGGGACCAGAAACGTCTCAGCAAACGGAAATCGGTCTTCCGGAAATTGAGCCGAGTGGCAGTCATGGTTTCATCAAAACGAATTTGAGATCCGTTCGCGATAGATATATCCAAAGCAGGGTGGAAATTGTCAAGAGGAACGATGACATCAGGCGCTTCAACGACGACACAGTCCAGAAGTGCACTTTCGCTAACAAAAACCAAGTCAAGAAAACGAGACTGGAAATTGGGAACAAGGTTTATCTGGCTCAGTCCATGAAAAGCCGTGCCGTCAACAAGCAAGCGGCTGGCAGGAGTAGTTGAAGATGCAATCGGATCTGGAAACGCATAACCCTGGCCTGAGGGTGACCAGCTAAGCCCAGGCTGATTAAAATCACCAAGCAGAAGAAGCACATCCGTTATATCAGCCATGGACGATGCAAATTCTGTAGCATCCAGATGAAGCTGCATTGTGGTGCAGTCATGTCGACGTTCAGGGGGAATATACACCGCTCCAATGAGGATGTCCCGCGAAGTGAGGCT